TGTGGTGCAGGCTGACTAGGCCATTCCCACCATGGCTCACCCAGCAGCCGGGCAGAGAAACCATGGCTAACATTTTTGAAGCCCACCCCTGGTTGTGAGGTATCGAAAATGAACCCCAAAACTCCCCCTATACACCCACAAAGAGTGTCTTTGGAAGTGCTTTGTTTGGTGGTGGTGCAGTGGTTAGAATGCAGCCTAATTCTGCTGACCGCTGAGTGCCAGGAATACGGCAATTTGATCCTGACCAGCTGAAAGTTGATTCGACCTTTCATGCTTCCGAGATTGGTCAAATGAGGACCCAGATTGTTGGGGGCAATAGGCTGATTCTGTAAACTGCTTAGAGAGGGCTGTAAAAGTACGGTGAAGTGGTATATAAGTCTAAGCGCTATTGCTATTTTCAGAAAGCCCACAGATTTAATCTGACCCGTACTTTTGGCTCCTTACCGCGTTTGATCTAATTTGCTGAAGGTCCCTGTTTCTTTGTCTAGGAACCTGTCTAGAGTGTGAACATTGTTCTGGCTTTGATAAGGACTGTACTGGCAAATTAAAGCTGTGCGATGAAGGCCAAGATACCTGTGCTACCATACTAACGGAAACCATAATCGGTGAGTTTTTTTGGCCAGCAAGTACCTGCCCTCCCCTTTTATCTGTTTTTAATCCCTAAACCAATTTTCCTCCCTCCAAATTGCAAAAGATTTCCCCCCAGGCCAAGCATTTGCTTTCTTCCTGAGTTATTATGAATCTTTCCTGAGAAAGGATGGATGAATTTAATGAGGTGAAGCCTTCCTTGATGGCTATGGCAGATAGCAGATAGCTTTAAATCAGGGTTGTCCAACCTTGGGCAGATTTGAGACTTGTGGACTTCAACTCCATGGTTGGCTGGGGAATTCTGGGAATTGAAGTCCACAAGTCTCAAAGTTGCCCAAGGTGGGACAACCTTGCTCCAAATCATTTGTAGGGGTTCTGATTGAATAAAGATGGGGTAACCATTAATGTTTCTCTGGATTGTTCCTATCTAGGAAAAATGAGCAGGTTTACCATTGTAAAATCCTGCTATCAGGCCTCCAAATGTCTAAGGAGCAGCAAAAGAAATTCCTTTGTGAAAGTTAATGTGAACATTGAATGTAGTTCTTCACCAGTCGGAAAGTTGGAAAGCAAAGGAGGCAAAGCACCGGTCCTTTGGAGCAATGAATTGCCCAACAATCAACTCCTAGCAGAAGTCTTCAATCAACCCAAATCCAGGGCTGCTGTAGTCTTCAATCCTAATCCCAGTGACATCAAATTCAAGGCGGCAGAAGTCAGAGTTGCCGATCCTTCTGGCAAACCACCCAATACTTCTGGCAAACCACCCAATACTTCCGGCAAACCGACCGAGACTCCTGCTAAAACCACCAAGTCTACCACTAAAAAACCCAATCCTACCGTATTGGTTACAGCCACAACAGGTGACAATGCCCATCAAACCGTTGCATCCTTTCTCCTGGCTCTCTCTTCCCTTCTGCTAATGAACATCTTCCTCTAAAGCAGCAGCCCCTTTGCGTAATGTGAGCCTGCATGGAAGCAAACTTCTCATTTCAGCCCAAACTTTTCCAAAAGAGAATCATTACCCAGAATGAATCACAGGATTCTTTACTGGCCAAGTGTGATTGGACACACAAGGAGTTGGTCTCCGGTGATGATGATGTACATATAAACAGAAAAGTAAAAAAAGTCACCGATCCTAAGAAACAACAAATTATTTTCCTCTTCTTCCATTTCTGGATTTGTAAACAGTGGAAAGAAATAATAATAATAATTTCTAACTTTAAATTTCAAGGCAAAGGGGAAAAGCAGGAAACAATTTCCAAGATAATCCAAATAAAAACCCATAGCTAAAATTGGTCCTGTCTTCATGGAAAATTAGGAGAGAACAGGACACATCAGTGGCCATTATGGCTAAGAGCACCTCCACACAGCTTCCTGTGGTGGACAGGACAAGACAGAATTCTTTATTGGCCAAGTGTGATTGGACACACAAGGAATTTACAACCTCGTTTGGAGCAGGAGGTTTTGCTCACAGTCACTTGGGGCTTAGTTCTTTCTCTGCTAGATTACTGCAAGGTATCTTACATGCTTTCCACTTAGCCCTATTACACCGTTGCTTCAGGAGTTATCACTTGGCCTTTGGGTGTCATTCAAGGTGACAACATTCACCTTTAAAGGCCATGGGCTGGTGACCAGAATTCTGCAGAACCTTCTCCCCATAAGAACTTTCTGGCTGATAGGATCAAGGACACCCTCTTCTTTTTAAAAATGCCTTCTCTATCTCTCTTCCTGTAGAATAGCATTCCTCTAGATAGGGAGTGTAGAACAATGGCCCTTTTATGACTTATGAACTTCAATTTCTAGAATTCTTGCGCCAGCTGACTGAGGAATTCTGGGAGTGGAAGTCCATAGGTCATAAAGGGGCCATCCTTCTCCACCTCTGTTCTAGATTCTAGACCAGGTGTGTCCAATCCACAGGCCCCATGCAGCCCTGGACAGCTGGTAATGCAGCCTCACAAGATCATAAACTTTTAACATTATTACGTGCATCTGTTATACATGCAAATATAATACATTTTATATGTGACCCAAGACAATTATCTTCACTTGATGCAGCTTAGGCAAACCAAAACCTTGGACACGCCTGCTCTAGAGATTTCCTTTTGTCATTTAGGAAATTGATGATCAGGTTAATTAAACAAGACGTGCGGTATGCATGATTGTGCAACTGAGAAACATCGTTTGGCTCAGCTTGGGTTTCTTTCTTGGGTTTTACTGACTGTCCCACATGGGTAGGTATTGTATTCTGCCCTTATCCTGACTTATGGATAGGGGGAATTGTACAATGCTCAGGGCTGCTTCTGATTGTTGAGGTCTGTAAACCCTATAAGCAAACAAACAAATGTTTATTGTCACTTCAATGAGACTAAAGCAGGAGTGGCGAACAACTCGCTGTGTCTTTCTTGGTTTAGAGAGCATATAGCAATGCTTCTCCAGAGCAACTTGAGTTGACACTGATGGAAATGAGTGGACCATTCATTGGTCCTATGAAAGAAACCCTGTGGGCAGATGGCTTCAGTTGTTGCCCTAACTGTGATTTCTCACACTCAAATGCTGGGAAGTTAGTTGTGGTCAAATTTCCATGCCTCACTTTACAGTCTTGCAAGTTACACAAAGGTGTGTCCCTCAAAATCATCTGCACTCTACTATTTCCATTCCAGGATGTGATGAATTCAGTAGCCACGTCGCATTATTACAGGGTAATAAAAGTATATATTCTTTTATAACCTCTGCAGTCCAAAGTGTAGAGCTCACTTCATTCCCAGTACAATAAACTTCAAATAACTGTGTGGCCCCATCAATCTCTGGCCAGCTGCACGGAACCACATCCTTTACTGCAACAATCCTGACGTTACCACAATTACAAGGAAGGGGACTTGAAACTTTCCCCAAACTGCTTCTGATATGACAAGACCACAGAGGACAGTTTTCCCACTAAGATGGTCAGGGAGCCTCATCCTATAACTCAACTGGAATGGAACAGAACAGAACAGAATAGAATAAAAGAATAGAGTAGAGAGTAGAGAGTAGAGAGTAGAGTAGAGTAGAGTAGAGTAGAGTAGAAGAGAAGGAGAAGAGAAGAGAAGAGAAGAGAAGAGAAGAGAAGAGAAGAGAAGA